GGACGATGGCTGTGGACCCCCAGGGATGAAGGGACCGCTGTCGAACTGAACGAAGAGGTCTGTCTGTCTGTCTGTCTACCTACCTGATCAGAAGTTCCCCAGGAAAGGAAAAACACATAGGGTTCCCTTTGATTTCCTCTGGCGCTCTGAACAAGCTGTAACCTCACCTCCACCCTTGTCCCAGCCACCCAGGGTCCCGTCTGTACCTCTTCTCATGCGGGCTGGGCTCCAGAGGGCTGGCACTGCCGAGGGGGCCTGAGGAGGGGGCGTCAGTCTCACTGCCAACCTTGTGTAACTCTTCTTCCTCCTCTTCCTCCTCTTCCTCTGCCAGGCCAGGAGCTGAGCAGAAGGAATATTTAATGAGCACATACCCACTGTGGGCAGGGCTCATGGTCCTGTGGGGGTGAGTGGTGAGCGCTGGGGGGGAGCTGAGGAGAAAGGAACACAAAGAAGGGGCTGGGGCGTTCCTTAAGGGCATGCACTCTGGTCGCCAGGGGATGGCATTCCTCATGCTTCACCTGACTGTGAATATGCCGCTCTCCCCGCTGCTCCAGCGCCTACCCGCTTCCCCTGCCTGGCTCTACACGGGCTCCTCCGCATAGCCTGCGAGGCCTCTCCACACCCCTGCCACTTCGTGGCCCCTGCAGGCCACTGAGCCACCTCCAAGCTCTGCCCTCAGGGTCTGAGGAACTCCAGGGTCAGCCCCAAGGTGATACATGCCAACTGACCTTGCTGGGGGACCTGCTCACACCCTGAGACTCAGTTTGGTGACCATGTGCTCAACTGAGGGAGGCAGCATGGGCTCCTCTGAGCCCGGTGATCTGCCTTAGGAGCCTGGCCAGTCCTAGAGCAGCCGTGGGCATACTATGGCCTGCGGGCCGGATCCGGCCCGTTTGAAATGAATAAAACTATGGGAAAAAAAGACCGTACCCTTTTATGTAATGATGTTTACTTTGAATTTATATTAGTTCACACAAACACTCCATCCATGCTTTTGTTCCGGCCCTCCGGTCCAGTTTAAGAACCCATTGTGGCCCTGGAGTCAAAAAGTTTGCCCACCCCTGTTCTAGAGCCTCTGGGATGGGAGCCTCACCCGTTTTCAGGAGATTCACCGTGTCTACTCCCCACCCCAGGCCAAACCAGGAAATGGAGTTGCTGAGGCCCACTCTGGCCACATGTGCCTTCTAAGCCCCCATGGGTGGGCCTCCCTGGAGCTCCTTGTCTGAGCCGCCCCACATGCTCCCTGGATACCAGGCTCCACGTTGGCTGTTGGGCCACACCTGCCACTACAGGTCCCGCCTCCCTGCCCCGCTTCCGGTGCCTCTGTCTTGTCCCAACAGAGGAGTTATCACCTTGACTTCCCAGACCTCAGCGTGTCAGGGGAGGAGGGGACAGAGGTGACGAGGACGAACAGGAGTTTATTTATAACAGAAAACGGTGACTATGGACTTGAGCGAGGAGGGATTCTCATGGCAACTTCATCACCTTCTTAATTAACAGGCGGGGAAAGCAGAAGGAAGGTGCCTGTCTTCATGTTGTTGTGTGGGGATTGGCACAAAGCACTGAGAAAAGCCCTGGGACGAATACTGTCAGCAGCCGCGAGAGAAGGTCAGCAGCAGCAGCATTCCCTGCCCCAGCAGCTGCTGGCTGACCGTTTTTCCCTCCGAACAGCTTTTTTACAACAGCCCATTTTACTGGGAAAATTTTTTTAACACTTTAAATTTTTCTTTAAATTGATGCTTAGGTGTTAGATGGCTGTAGGCTTTGTGAGTTAAACCTATAAAAATAAAGTGCTTTTCCTACTGAAATGAGGGTGGAGAGTATTCGCTTCCATACTGCGGACACTTTGGGACTGGACGGTTGGGTTAGTTGAGGCATTGCACGTACCCTGCCTGTGGGTGAGCAGGGACTGGGTGCTCCGTGAGGACTGAGAGAATTAAGTAAGATATTTCAGGCCATCAAACCCATTATTACAGGAATTTACAAAAACCTGGATGATATAAAAGAGTAATTCAAGTTGATATGCCTGAATTCAAACTTTAAGACATTTCTACGAAAAAGAATGACCTCATTCTCCCAGGAGGCCCAGGCCTTGGGTGCGGAAGAGGCCATGCCTTCCTGGGGGACCTGCCTGTGCAGGAGGGGGAGGGGCTGCATTGGCTGTTTTATCTCAGATGCTCGCCCAGTTTGGTTTCTGCTCCCTGCAGAGCTGTCAGAAGGATGTCCCCTCCCAAGTCCTCTCCCCCAGCGGCCACCACCCTCAAGGACCCAGGAGCTGCAGGTGGGAGTGGGAAGGGCAGGTCTGATGTTGGCCACGTGAGCTAGATAACTCACCTGCCTGGGATAGGTAACTCACATGCCTGGGATAGGTAACTTACATGCCTGGGACAGGTAACTCACATGCCTGGGATAGGTAACTTACATGCCTGGGACAGGTAACTCACATGCCTGGGATAGGTAACTTACATGCCTGGGACAGGTAACTCACATGCCTGGGATAGGTAACTTACATGCCTGGGACAGGTAACTCACATGCCTGGGATAGGTAACTTACATGCCTGGGACACTAGATAACTCACCTGCCTGGGATAGGCACTCACCTGCCTGGCATAGCTAACTCACCTGCCGGGAGGACCTCCAGAGCCACCCTGTGCACTGTCTGGGACCCATTGGCCGTCTCCACCACGCAGCCGTACTCCCCGGCATCCTCCTCCCTCAGGGAGGTCATCTCCACCTGCAGCAGGCCACTCCCCATGTCCGTGAGGAAGGTACGGCTGTGCCCTGGGGCTCTGCGGTCCACACCTGAGGACACCAAGGGCTGGCACCCCTCCGGCAAGAACCGGCACCACACCTTCCGAGCCCTGCCATCCTGGGGTCGGTAGTGACAGTGCACCTGGATGGAGCTGCCCACCCGCGCCTGCAGCTCCTCGGGGAGGCTGCCAGCGGAGCCCTGGCCTAGGGAAGGAAAGGACGAAGGGTGTTAGACAGGCGTTGGGGACACCTCCCAGCCCACCCACGGGCCTAAGGGCACAGGGACCCCTTCAGGCCCTACACACAGTATTGTTGCCACAATCATGTCAATGATTTCTAGGCATGGAGCAGGGTAGAGGGGGCCCAGAATTCGGCACCTTCTGAACCTCACCTGCTAGTCCCAGGAGCAGCAACAGGAGCAGGTTGGGACCCATCGCTGGGCTGGGAGATGTTGGCTGGGGCCTTGCTGGGCACTGACACAGCATTCCCCTCAGGCAGGAAACATCTGCCTCTGTCACATGGGGCTCTCGGTGACCACGGGGTGGGAGACAGACACTGGTGGGGCCTCCATGGGTGGGGATAAGGAGCCTCCTAACCCTGGTTGTCTCCGTGCTCAGGAACAGACCTCACCCCGAAGGCAGGGCTGGGCAGGGCAGGCTGGGCAGGGCAGGCTGGGCAGGGCAGGCTGGGCCCAGCTAAGGAATGAGGATGAGGATGAAGGCAGCTGGAGGGCATTAGGGAAGGAGGAAAGATGACTTTGGGGTCTTCCAAACATAGACTCTGAGGATGCAGAGCTGGGAGGGACGGAGGGAGAGTCCTGCCCATGGTCCCAGGCCTTCTGGTCCTAAGTTCTGTGTGAGTGTCCCCACCCCAACTCTCAGGCGACTGTCTTTCTCCTGGGGTCCCACCTCAGGACAGGAAGCCCCACCTGATGTGGGCGGGGCCTGTCTTGTTTGATGGATCCGCTGGGAGACCTTTTCAAGGTGGCCCCAAGGCTTCAGTTCTGGGAAGTTGGGAAGTGCATTATTTCTTTGATAATTACTCCCCCGTTTTTTTCTCCACCCCCCCCCCCCCAAAAATCATCCTCCCCCCCCCCCCCGGGTTTTTCTGGAACTCCTTAATTAGTTGGATATGAAACCTAATGCATTCATTTCATACCCTTTCTCTCTTATTTTCCTTCTCTTGTGGTCCATTTCATTCTGATTTCTGGAAGATAGCCTCATCTTTTTCTTCCATCCCTTCGACTACTGGCTTTTAAAGTTTTCTTTCTTAGTGTTCTTCATTCACCAGATTTCCTGTTCTCCAAGCAGTTCTTCATTCGGTCACACTTTTGTCTCAGGAATGCACTCTCCGCTCTGCTGGGGAGACAGTTCTTTGTAAAGTTGTTCCCGTTCCTGCCTGGCCCAACCAGGGTGTCCAGGTGGGTGAGCAGCGAATACGCCAAGAGACGGTCTCAGCTCCAGCGTGGTTTGCTTCCGTCCTCTCCTCCCTCCCTGGGAAGGTGGGGTGGTGTGGTTTTGCTTAAATTTTATTTTTCAATGGCAGTTTACAGTCCATATTATTTTGTAGCCAGGTGGGTACTTGTTTTGTTTTCAATAGAAGAGGACCCTGAGCCTCAGGAGTTAGGAACTTGCTTAGTTTCTTAGTAGGAGGCAAAGCTGAGGTTTGAAACCCAAGTATCTGACCCCCTTCAGCCCAGGGTGCCCCCAGAGAGTCCCATGGCGGGGAGAGGTCCGCCTGCGCCCTGGGGCCGCCCCGGGCCCACTGCCCAGCAGCCTCCCTGCCATCGCATCAGCGCAGTGCCTGGGGAGGGGCGGCAGGGAGGTGGAACCGGGTTCAGTTTGGGCTCTACCAGTCTGTTCTGTCCTGTGCTGCCGGGGGACATGAGGAGGAATTTTCCCTGCCGGAGTCAGAGGCCAGCGAAACAGATGGGACCAGTGGAGCCTCCTGGCTGGGGAGCGGGCGAGGAGGGGGCTGGGCGGGACCGGGCTGGAGGGTCTCTGAGGCTGCACCAGGGATTCAGGGCCCCAGGCGCCCAACCCGGTTAGCAACAAAGCAGCCACATGACCGCGGGCGGGACCTCCTGTCCCGCATGTGAAGGATGCCTTTCCTCCTCGACCCCGTGGCCCTCCGGGGTGGTCTCAGCCAGGGCTCCCCTTCGCTGCCTCTGACACCTTCATTTTTTTTCCATCCATTTAAATTGTACATTGAATGTGTGCCACTCAGTGGCTTTTAGAACACTCGCAATTTTAGGACGTTGTCATCACCCCAGGAGGAAGACCCAATCCCTTAGCACAGTCACTCCCCACCCCCAACAACCGCTGATCTCCTTCCTGCCTGTGGACTTGCCTTTTCTGGACATGGCCCAGCAACGGGTTGTACGATGTGGTGACGGGCTTCATGCGCTGATCATAAGGTTCCTCCACGCTGTGGCGTGTCAGCGCTGCGTTCCTGTTGTCAGATGATGTCCATGGTGTGGGTGGATGTGCTTTAGGTGGTGGACGTTTGGGTTATTTCTCCTCTTGGCACTTGGGAACCACATGGTTGTGAGCTCTCTGTGCAGCTGTGTGTGTGGACGTGTTTTCTTCTGCTGCGTTTCTCAGAGGGCGTCACCGTGTCCCGTGGTGACACTCCGGTAACTGCTGGAGAGTGTCCTGACCACCTTTCGAACGGCACCGGCCTGGCCCTTCTGCACTCCCCGGACCCCTGACCGCTGACCGACTTGTCTACTGTCGGCCTCCTCTCCCTCCATTAGAACTCGGCTCCTCGTGAGCCGACATCACTGACTGTTCTGTTTGCTCTGTGTCTCCAATGCCTGGCACAGAAAAGATCTGTTGAATAAATGACTGAGCTGGAGGAAAGGGCACCTTGAACACCAAGTGCAATTGGATTTCCAGGCTCTACTGGGACCTTTGGGTAACCCTCACCCTTGTGAGCCTCAGTTTCCCTTCTGCGCAATGAGGGGCTTTGGTCAGGAGTTCCCAGTTCTGGGGTGCTGCCCTCTGTGACTCAGGTCCTGGAGGGAAGTAGCGTGATGAAAGGGCAGCTCCAGGGAGAAGAAGGGATGAGTCAGCTGGGAGCTGGATGTGCGTGGGTGGGGTGGGAAGGGAGGAGGGAGGCTGGGGCAAGGGGGCCAGCAGTGATCCTGGGAACTTATGGACGGGAGGCAAGAGGAAGAGAGGGAGACCAGGCTAGAGAAACCCCAGAGGAGGCAGGAGTGGGCAGTCAGCTCTAGGAAAGGGAGAGAGAGCAGAGATGGCCATTTGGAGCCTGTGAGAATGGAGGGACAGGGTGCCCTAAGGTCTTAGGCCCCAATGAGCCAGTCGCTTTCCTCATCGAGATTCATTCTCCTAACCCTGAAGCAAAAGAGGACTCTGTGATGCCCCAAACAACCAGTTAAACATGAAGTCTCAGATTTATTTGTGAGAATGTTTGCTGTCCATCACACACACACACACACACACACACACACACACACACAGCCCTGGGCCCAGGGAAGCAGAGGACAGGCAAAGTGGTGTTTTGCCAAAGCAGAACCAGGAGTCTTAGTGGCCGAGGGGCGAGTGCACAGGCAGGGTGGTCCCCGCAGACCTCTCCAGGCGTCTTGTTCACATGGGGTCCTCTCCTCTCAGGTGTCTCTCAGCCCTGCAACACACTGAGTCCTCCCTCACCCCTCTCAGCCACCACACCCTCTCTCCCCACCTGGCCCTCTCTCCCTACCTTGCCCTCTATGCCCCGTCTGCCCTCTTTGCCCCATCCGCCCAGCCAAACTGCTCTCCAAGCTCACCTGTCATGGCCACAGTCTGGAGCTGGTCACCTGGGTCATGGCTACAGTCAGGCCCACTGGCCGGGGTTGTCCCCTGTTTCTGCCCATGCCAGGCTGCAGCCCAGAGGGCACTGGCCGCGAGCAGCTTGCTGAGAAAGATGCAGGCCAGGAGGAAGAGGATGGAGGTGGGTGGGAAGGGGATCTCTTCTGGGAGGCTCCTTGGAGAAAAAGGAGAGCATGTGGGAGGCCTCAGGGTGGCCTCAGAGAAGGATGGGGAGACACCAGGAGCTTCCGGGGCTTAGAGTACCCCCACCTACCCACCCCTGGGATGGGGCTCCGTGGGGCTCGGGAAGCCTGGAGTCAGGAGACCCAAGTTCTAGGCCGGGCCTGCCCGCCAAGTGCATTGCAACACATCACCTCCCTCGCTGCACAGTGTCTGCCCTACGTGATGGGGTATGAGATGTGTGAGCGTGTGGAGGGGCACACGTGTGCTCCATGGTTATATTAACATGTTTAATACCAGTACATCGACATGAGCCAATCAGACTGATTCTGGTCCCATCAAAGGAGCGGATCTGGGGACCCCAGTTTTGTACTGAAGCACTAAAACTTCACTGTTGCTGGATTGTGGGGATGCAGCGGGCTGACCATTCAGGATTCTTGGAGCCACCGCTATTTACAAACTGTTGTGAAAGGATTTCAACGTTTTAGCGCCTGGCAGTCAGGCCAACACACACAGGCCGGCAGCCTGTTTAGACAGACCCATCCCCGGCCCTTCATGCTCTGACTGCCTTGGACTCCAGTCCTGGGACCTGCAGGCCCCATCCCCTGGCCCTCTGCTGGGCGGGGCCTGCGGGATCTTAGGGGAGACCTGTCACTGTACCTGGAGATGCTGTGCTCCACCTGGACGTCCTCAAAGCTCTGGGGCTGCTCGGGGGTCCAGAGCTCACCGGGGTCCTGGCCATCGAGGGGGTCTGTGGAGACAGAGCCGGTGACCTTGGGGAGGACCTCGTGGGTGGGGTGAGGCCTGTGGGGGTCAAGTTGTTAGCCCCCTGAGCCTCCGCTCCCTCGCCTGTGAAGTGGGGCAGTTAGGAGCCCCCCTCAGTAGCAGTGCTGCGGACTCTGGAACAGCCTTCGCAGGGCTCACCACCTCCCAGCGCTCAGTAAGTCTCAGGGTCTTTGGGAAGATCAGGTGGAATAATGGATGTATTTGCAAGTCCTGCCTGAAGTGCTTAGCCACCAGCCTTGAGTTATTGTTATTATTATTATCATTGTTCTGCCACCATCTATGGAGTCGGCTGGGCCTTAGACCCAGATAAGGCTGAACTTTTGTGTCCTCACCCCCTACTCCCTCTTCCCACTTAGAAAGATGGTGAAAGTGGGGCTTGGGGTCTGGGCAGACAGTGCCCCTAAGCTCCCTCCTTAGACAAATGCTACCCTGGAACCTCGTTCCCATGAGAAAGCACATGCTGGGGGAGGAGCCGGGAAGAGAGTCAGAAAAGGAATGGTGACCCCCATCTTTCCTTTAGATCTTTCCTTTAGGGCACGCTCATGTTCTCCCTCCCACCACCCACCTGCCAGGGGCTCCCCTGGAGGGTATCCCCCAGGCAAAGCTTGGGTGGGGAGGACCTGGGCAAGCCTGGGTGAGGATGCCAGGCAGTTCACAGCCGGAGGCTGGGGCAGGGTTGTCACCCCCTGCTCCCGCACCTTTAACTGCATCTCCCGTGTGCTTCACAGGAGCCCTAGGTCAGCAGGACTGACACCATCATCTCCACTTAAAGAAGAGGGATTACAGAGGTGTGCACGCTGCCCAGGGACACGGCCGTTCCCTGCACCTGCTTGTTTTTCTGCACCTGGTTGGTGCTGAATCTATGCCGGTAGGTCCC